ATTACTGCAGCCCATTGTTTTGTGGCTCCACACCTCCCCCCACCCCCTTTTTGAGCCAGTGTCTGTAGCTGTGGCTTGCCTGGAACTCACTGACAGCCACCTATCCTCGTCTGCTTCGAAGCTGGTTTGTTGGTAATTCTTTCCATGAGTTGATTTATTAAACCATATGTTCCAAGCTTTTTATTTTTATTTTTTTAGAATCCCTCTCTGAATTTCTCATTGAAGTTGAATTTTCATCCAGATTGTAAATTGATGTCATCTGAAGTCTCTGGAGGTTATGCGTTATTAAGACAAAGTATTCACTGTTAGGTGTGTGTGTGTGCCTCTGAATGATTACGTACCACGGGCAAGCAGAAGCCTGCAGAGGTCAGCAAGAGCAGGTTGGCACCCTTCATTGCTGAGCCATCTCTCTAGCCCCCACTTATTTATTTGCTCCTTTCCTTATTTATTTGATCTCACTATGTAGCTGTGACTGTCCTGGAACTCACTCTGTAGACCAGGCTGGCCTGAACTGAGAGATCTCCCTGCCTCTGCCTCCTCAGTGCTAGCATTTAAAGATGTGTGCCATGATTGCCTGGCTTCCATTTATCATTTTTTAAAATTAGGCTTTCTGGTTGTTTATGTAGCAGTTCAACCAGCTTAATATCATTGCATCCAGCTATTGGAGTGCTAAGACCCAAAACAAAATAAAAATTAATAAAAAGAAAATAATAGTAAAATACAGTAATAATAAGGTAAAATGTTGAGTATGAGTGTGTGTGTGTGTGTGTGTGTGTGTGTGTGTGTGTGTGTGTTTTGAAGGTAACAGCATCTTTCAGGCCCTGCAGCCTTTCACCCTTTTGGGTGGGATTTACCCCATCTGTAGATGGAGTTTACTGCAGTTCCTCTTGGCTCCCACTGGGCTGAGCTCTGAGCTGGTCACTATTACCTTGTCAGGGTTGGTGCCGATTAATTTCAGAACTTGCTGGTCCCCGTGCATCAGGACCTGCTGCTGCTCTGCCTCCAGTGTGTATTGTAGCCTATAAGCTGTTCGGGTTTTCAAGCCCGCCAGGGCAACCGCCCTTCTGTGCACCTAGAGGTAATAACACCCCAGCTGAAGGGAGTCAGAGAGTGGGGTCAGCAAGAATTCTGCATGCTGGAAGAGAGGAGGGGACCTTCCGCTCTGCCTCTTAGCACTTTCAGACCCACCGAGCAGCAACTGCCCTGCCGGGGAGGAGGCTGGAGAGATGTGCAATCCTAGACCTGTGCTCAGAGCTTTCTGTTTCGATGGTAACCGAGTGCACGCTAAAGGCTTGCCCCTCACCACAGAGGGTGGTGTCCTTGAGCACTGCATTCTCCAGCCCAGGCTCCCTCTCCAGCGTGTTCCTGCCTCTCACTGTGCCTATATATGACCCTCCCCCTTTCGTGCTTCTGTGGCTGTGTCCATGGCAACACAATGGCAGGGAGTTCCCAGGATCCCTGATATTGATTGCTGCTAGTTTTCTGGTCCCCAGAAGGGCTGGATCTCAAACATTAGCCCTGTCTCAATATGGTGGCTAATTGTGTAGTGCTTTGAGACATGGGGGCTGGGTGATGGAATCGGTCACATCTTCAGAGCCTGCCTTCCACCTGGGCAGAGTCATCCCACGCTAGGAAGAGCGGCCTTCACTGACCAGGACAACCCTCGGCCCTGAAAGCTCAGCTCTAACGGATTCCCAGTGGAGTGGCCCAAGATGTTAAAGTGGCATTAAACATCCTTTTCTGTCTTGCAAGCCCAGCCTGTCTGTAGTGTAAGCCCAATTCACCCTACTCCTTTCTATGCTCCATTCTGCCTCTAATCTCATCCAGACAGCAGCTCCTCTCTGCAGTCCCACCAATCAGCTCATCTGTAGTTTCGTGCCAGCTGTCCAGCCGGTCCTCGCCTGGTCAGAAGCCCACCAGATCTGGGCTTCACCATAGTGAAGTCTCTTGATGCTTCCTGCCAGGTGTTCTACATAAACTACATATGTAGAGAGGGTTCTGGCTGCTTTTCACTCGTAAGGCTCTCCTGTCAGCCACGTGAACACCCTGGTGGAGATGGCTCGGTGGGCTGGCCGGGAAGGTGCTGCTGGCATTTGCAGTGCTGGGCTCAGACTTGGAACCTTGTAGATGCTATGCAAGTAAGTGCTCTATACCGAGCTCTTTCTGCAACATCGATCCTAAGGTGCATTCGAGATTAGGAAGCACTGCCTTTCTCTTCGTTTTCTTGTCACGTGATCTTAAGATCCTGCTATGGCATGTATGTGCTGCTCTGGTCCAAGTCTTATCCGAGGTTTGCTTTCATTTCCATCATGGGAAGGGAGCCGGGCATGGGAACAGTCTACCGGGGACTGTCTCTTTTAGCAGATCTAGACCCAAGTCTCAAGGCTCCTGCCATGGCCTTCCTTCCTCCCGAGGACGCTAGCCTGAGAACACACAGTGTCCTGGCTTTTCCCTCCTCCTCTGAATGGAGCCATCTAAGAGCCACAGCTCTGTGTTGTTAGGCACCAACCCTCCAGGCGACATATCATAGCTGCTGCAACTCAGCAAATACAGATCCTCCCTCGCTTCTCAGTGTGGGGAATTGTCATTTTTATTTATTTGTGGGTTTTTTTTTGTTTTGTTTTGTTTTGTTTTGTTTTGTTTTTGAGACACGGCCTCACTCTGTAGCCCTGACTTGTGGGGAACTCTGTATACAGGCTAGAGTGGCCTGAACTCACAGAGATTCAGCTGCCCCTTGGAATGCTGGGATTAAAGATGAGCATCACCACCCTCAGCCCTTGTGGGGAACTCTTACTGTCATGTGTCAGGAGTATGAACACTGGACCATGTCAGCTCTGAAGCCAGGCGGGACATGCCCCAAATAACTCTGCAAAGAGGAAGAGCAAAGGCTTCATGTTGCCACAGGATGTATGGTCACCATCCTTGCTGCTGTGACCAAGCATTTGACAAGCAGCAGCGTGAGGAAGGGTGGGTTGGCTTAGTCTGGCTGTATGGTTTGGCAGGATATGGACTATCATGGCAAGACCGCATAGTAGCTGGAGCTGGCGGTGACCGACAACATTGCATCCCCAGTCAGGAGGCGTACAGCAGCGATGCGTGTTGTCCTTTCATTCAGTGTAGGACCCAAGCCCTTGTGTGGTGCTGCTGACGACGGGATGGGTCTCCTCAAGTCTACTAACCTCATTAAAAAAAAAAAAAAAAAATCCCACGCTGGGCATGGTAGCACACACCTTTAATCTTAGCACTCTGTGAATTTGAAGCCTGGTCTATGTAGCGACCTCCAGGACAACAGAGACACGCTCTGAGAAAAAACAACAAAAATGGGATTTAACGAAGAAGAAAGGAAGCCAGGCATGGTGTGGCACATGCCTCCCAGCACTCAGGAGGCAGGCACAGGTAACGTCTACACAGCAAGTTCCAGGACAGCCAAGGCTACACAGAGAAATCCTGTCTCAAAAAAAAGAGAGAGAGAGAGAGAGAAGAAAATCCCTCATCAAGTTGACAACCAAGATGATCCATCACACTCTTAAGAGCCCTTTGATTCTCTTAAGTCGTAAGCCTCTTGGAAATGGAGCCAATCTGAGCTGTCCATTAACAGTTAAAGAAGACGTGGTGTACATGCACGGTGCACTTTTATGTAATCATAAAAGACCCAAAACTCTCCAAGCAGGACCCAAACTTAAAGCTTTATATATATGGTGTTTGTATATAAATATAATTTATATTTACAATTCATATTTATATTTATATAATTAAATATAATTTATATTTATATAATTAAATATAATTTATATTTAATTATATATAATTTATAATTTAATTTCCTTATATAACAAGGCTTGAATGTTGAGGAGGAAGTAGGTAAGAACTAAGGAACCAAGAAAGATCAAAAGGCAAGAGACCTCTAACCTGCAAGGTTAGGAGGTCATGGCCCCTGTGCCCTGCAGTACAGTGGATGTCTGAGAAGACATTCTCAGGTAGTTTTTAGCAAACCAGCTTTCCAGGGCTTTTGAAAGGAGATGGAGATAGGATCTAATGCTGAGGACATGAATGGCATGAACACACTTACAGAGATCACAGGGTCCTGGGGAAACTGAGCTGTGACTGCTGCTGGAGAGGGATGGACCATATATATATGCTGTGTGTGTGTGTGTGTGTGAGAGAGAGAGAGAGAGAGAGAGACAGAGAGAGAGAGAGTGAAAGCGAGCAGGAGATCATCTTAGGAAAGGGTGGAGAGCCATGAATTGGGGAAGGTGGCCACCTGGGCAGAGGAGGAACAAGTAAGAGAAGATGAGGAAACGGTGGAGGGGAAGGCAGTGAGAGAGGAGATTGAATTAGGAAAAAGTGTAATGACACACATAAAAATGACAGCAGCTGTGGGAGCACGCCTTCAATCCAGCACAGGAGAGGAAGCAGCAGGTAAACCCAAGTCTGAAGCCAACCAAGGCTACACAGAGAGACCCTGTCTCAAAAACCAATCTTGACGACAACTAAAAGAAAGAGAAATGATATACTAAAAGAAAACAGCCTATGGTTTTGTGTGCTGACCTAAAACATTTAAACAATTGCCTCTGCACCAGGCGGTGTGGCCGTGGCTGGCTGGATTTTGTTCACATTTCTACTGCCGAGACCCGCTTCCAGCGTGCTCCCAGGATAGCAAGTTTCGTTCATTTGCATAAATATAGGCACGCGCCATCGTCCTTTTATTTTCCAGGTAGTATTTTCCAGCACTGATTACAGGATTTCCTCTGACCATCCGGTGATATTATACATATTAAACTTCAGTTTAAGCTCAACTTTTAACATCCGTCTCCTGCCACAGCTGCACACCGCCAAGCACACCAGACGCCTACCGCTACAGTCAAGCATCAACCTCCAAACGGTTTGTTCCCAGTTAAGAATTCGGAATACGTGGCGGCTCACAACCATCTATCAAGAGATCTGGTGCCATCTTCTGGCGTGCAGGTGTAAAGCAGGAAGAACACAGTGCACATAGTAAATCAATCTTTAAAAAAAAATTTTTTTTTTTTTTTTAAATTCAGAATACAGCTGGGGGCACCGGGGGCACACACCTTTAATCCCAGCCATCGGGATTCTCTGAGTCCCAGGCCAGCCTGGTCTACAGAGCGAGTTGGTCATGCTACATACACAGCCATGACACATACACAGAGAAACCCTGTCCCAGAAGCCAAAAGGATTCAGAATGCACATGAGTTGAGGAGCTCGGAAGCGGAGGGCGGTGTGACCCACAGGTGTGAACCGACCACTTCATTTCAGGGCCTCCATCACAGCGGCAGCGATCTCTGGGACGCTTTTGTCCACGCTGATTTGGATGAAGTTTTCGGGAGCTGACGGGGGCTCCAGAATACTGAACTGGGACTGCAGTAACTCGGGCGGCATAAAATGTCCTTTCCTTTGGAGCAAGCGACCAGAAATGATCTCGAATGACCCGCAGAGGTAGACCACCAAGAGCTTTGTGCCAGCCAGCGCTTCTTCCTTTGCTGGCTCCTCACTTGGCGCATGCGCACCACCATTTCCTCGTATCAAGATGTCCCTGTACATTTTCTTCAGGGCTGAACACGCCAGAACAACATGCTGTCCCAAGGCCACATTTCTGTTTCCAAAATATAAGAAATAACACACACACAACCCCAAAAGGATGAGGATTGCAAAATGAAGGCACTTAAAAAGCTGTTGATTCTAGGCAGTGGACTAGTCTCTCTGCCAATGGAAAGTGTTACTTGAAAATGGAGATTAAGCATTGGGTGTCCCCAACCTTAAACTGAGGAGCTATCATCAGCGAACGAAATAATCCGCAGGCATCAGTCCCTCCCTTGTCAAATGGGCCCGTTCAGAGCTGACCGCGTGCCTGGTACGCTAAGAGGATGGTTTTGCTCCATCCTCATGGATGCACCTCGTTGTGGTTTCAGACATGATTTTTCTTTTCAATTTTGACTGGATTATATTACGGCCAGATGACTTCATACCTTAGTAAAATGTCGTGCAAGCTGCACAGCCAGGGAATCCTGTCCTGAAATTAGAACAGACTCACAGTAGCTTTCCCAGTATTGCTTATACAGAAAGAGTTGTACAGCCACAAAAGATGACCTTACTGGTTATGGCAACTGGGCATGAACAGGCTGGGGGAGGGAGATGGCGGTGGGGAGCCAGGGCCACAGGCCCACAACCACAGGAACATGGTCTTGTTCTGGTGTCAGTGGCTCATTTCCTAATAATCTAACTTCCCTTAAGCTGATTAGTCACATGTCACACCTCCTCCCAGCTCCCCATGGTGTCTTTGAGGCTCACAGGCCCCATACTGTGTGGCTCACCTATTCCTTCAGTGCATCTGACCAGAACCTACAGCTAAGCTCATGACCCGCAGCAGAGCTCTGCCCCAACCCTCCATTAACGTCCTCATGTGCCATTTGAACTGGTCTTCCAAAGTGACTCTTGCATTACCCGTGCTTAGCCAAGCTTGCCACATCCAAGCACTAACAGAGAGGAAAAGCATGATACTGTTATCATAAACTTTTAAATCTTAACTCCCTGGATAGTTTTTTTTTTTCCTTTCTAAGTTTTTGTTGTTTTATTCTCTGAGTATTTTGCCTAGGTGTGTATAGGTGCACTGAGGACATACAGTGCCCGGGGGCCAGAAGAGGGCTGGGGAATCCCCTAGAACTGGGGTTACAGGCAGCTCTGGGCTGCCACGTGGGTGCTGGGAACAGAACCCCAGACCTCTGCAGAGCAGCCAGTGCTCTTAAGCACTGAGCACTGAGACACTTATCCAGCCTCTAAAGAAGCTCCCGGGGCTGTGTAGCAGAAGGTGACTCAGCCCAAAGTCCCAAGAAAGCTCTACCTTCCGTCCTGGGCTCTGTGAAGTGTTGTCACCACCCCCACCCCCCACCCCGCCTTCCCTGCACCCTACTCCCTTTTTTGCATTTAAACAGTTCAGGTTCACTTCTGCCTTTGGTGAACTGTCAATACCTTTAGCTCAACAGGCAAAATCTGGCCGCTGAGGCCTCCCCGAGGAGTGGGCTAGGAGCCAAGATAGGAAGGATGGACATGGGTCACTCAGTGAAGGAAGAAACACATTCCAGATGTCCGGGGGACAGTGGACACAAGCCCTGTGAGGGAGGAACGTGGCTGTGGGAGGAAAGTGGCTGCATGGCTCCTGTGGAGATGGAGGAGTACCTAACATTTCTAAAGAGACTCAGAACCTAAAGTCAGCTAAAAGCCTAGAGGGCCTCAGAACAGTGGCGTGGTGTGGTGGTTTGAGTAAGAATGGCCCTGCAGACTCAGATGTTTGAATAGTTGGTACCTAATTGACAGAACTTTTGGGGAAGGGTTAAGAGGTGTGGCTTTTTTAGGAAGTGTGTCACTGGGGTCAGGCTTTGAGGTTTCAAAAGACTTGTACATTGCCAGTGTGTTCTCTGCCTCCTGATTCAGACTGACGTGTTCCGTTTCTCCTGCCACACATTTGCTCCATGACCTCTGAACTGCGAGCCCAGTTAAATGCTTTATTTTATAAAATGCCTTGGTCACGGTGATTTAGCAACAGAGCAGTGAGATGCGTGGCCACATCTGAGTTTGCAGTGGGGTTCACCAGAACAGTGTCGGGGAGATGAAAGGACCCGGAGACACTAACTTCCCTGGGTGAGCCCAAGGCAGTCTCTACCTTACAGATCAAAACTCTGCAGCCAGCTGTGGCAGACTGGGCAGAGGTGGCTCAATCCAAGAAGTTGGGGGTCTAGGCTAACAGACGTGGAGGCGTTCGTTACACAGATGTTGGGCAGCCATTGCCAGTGTTACCTGGTCACTCAGTGGTACCCCCTTCTGCATCTTCGTCCGATTCTCTGCAGAATGGTAATCATCGGCGTCATAGAATTTCCATCCCAGCTTTACAACAGAGGGAAAGATATATGCAGCGTCAGCAAGGCCCATGTGACAGTCACCAGGAGCTTACTGGGTGTAGACATCACTAGTCTGAGGCTGGCCCTCTCATCACTACCAAGAAGAAAACTGTATTGCCATGCTAAGGCATCTGCACAAACCATAAGCCAGAAGAAAGGGAGAAAGCAGTGGCCAAGAAAGCAGCAGGTAAAGGATTTTACCTTGGAGGCCAACAGCGCACCCACTGTAGATCTGTGGAGAGAATACAGATATTTCCGTTTCTGCCCAACACAGGCAAGTGTCAGCTGTTTTGAGATGCCCTTAACCCTGGAGTCAACAGAGATGGCGTTCACTGTCCTTAGGAACACCAGTGAAAATGGATTAGCCAGAAAGCAATGTATCAGATCTAATTAAAACATTGAGCCAGGTGTAGTGGCACATGCCTGTTATCCCAGCACTTGGAGGCAGAGGCAGGAGGATCTCTGTAAGTTTAAGGCCTGGTCCACACAGTGAGACACTGTCTTGTTTGTTTGTTTGTTTGTTTGTTTGTTCGTTCAAGACAAGACAGCCTTGGCTGTCCTTAACTTGCTTTGTAAACCAGGCTGGCCTCAAACTCAGAGATTCTCCTGCCTCTGCCTCCAAGCGTTGAAATTACAGGCATGCACCATCTTGCCCAGCTGAGACACTAGCTTGAAAAAACAAAACAAAACAACACCCTCCCCAACACACACAAAAAACCATAGAAAGTTTTTTCTCAATAATCAGTGCTTTGTAGCTATTTGTGGTGGTGAGCACCTATGGTTCCAGGGCATGAGAGGTGGACACAGGAAGGTGGATAGCTGGCTCTCAGCAGTTTGGATGGCACACTGAGATGCTGACTCAGAAAGCTCGAAAACAAGAGAATCAATGTTTTAGGCCCTGCTGTGTAGGTGTTTATCTTTTGTGAGAGAATACGGAATGAACAGCATGGTAGTTTCATCAAAGGCTTAAAAGAGAGGGTTGTTTGTTTTTTTTTTTAAAGTACTATTGCATCTGTTTTGTGTTGGCCAACTCCTCGTGGGCATGGGGCCTGCCCTGATGTGTGGTTGGTACATCTAGTGAAAGAGGGGTGTAATAGAGTTTAAAACCCAGCAGCACTGTGTAAAGCTCAGGGGGGCTCAACAGTTAGAGCACTGGCTGCGCTTCCAGGGGCCCTGGGTTCGGTTCCCAGCACAAGCTGGTTCCCAGCTTGCAACCATCTGTAACTCTAGTTGCAGGGAATCTGATGTTCTCTTCTGGCCCCCATTGCAGCGTACCTGTGTGGTACTCAGACATACATGCAGGCACAAAAACCCCGTACACATGAGACAAGCTCAGTGACTCAGCACCTGTTAATGCAAAGCACTCCAGGATGAGAGAGCTGGTGATGGCCATCACTAATGACTGTCCCTTGGCTGACTGGGCTTTGCAGAGGAACTGAGCCACTGTGTTGTCCATGTGCCTCTAGGTTACCCAACCAACTGAAAGAACACTTCATCATTCATTACGAACACGGGTGTCTCGCCTGCATGTGAGTTAGTGTCCCGTGTGTGTGCAGTGCCCGTGGAGGTCAGAAGACGTTCTAGAACTTGGGGTACAGCCCATTGTGAGCTGCCGTGTGGGTGCTGGGAACTGAACTCAGGAGTTCTGCAAGAGCAGGCAGTGCTCTTAACCGCTGTGCCAACTCTGTAGCCCCACCTCAGCCAATTTTTATTGAACATGTATTACCCACCGGTTCCCAGATGGCAAAGATGAGACCACCATGATGTTCTATGATTAAAGGTGAGTGCCACCATACCTGGCCTGAACCAGAGTTTTGTACAGGAAAAAAAAAATTCATTCTTAAGGTCCAATTAGATTAATAAATGAATAATTTATGAATAAACATGCTAGCCACCAACAGTAGTCTATGAGAAGAGCCAAGTGGATTTGAGTGTCAACTGGGAGGAGGGAGGTAGAAGAGAATGGAAAAATCCACTGTCTCTGCTCCTCCAGAGGAGAAGGATGGAGCAAAGAAAACTAGAGGACAGGATGCTAGGATATGCACAAGGGACCACAGCAGGAACAAGGCTCAGAAGCAACAGTCGGATCTAAGGTTACAAGCCAAACTTCAAGGCCCATATGTCTCCCAGCTGGCCTGAAAGACACTTTCAAAGACAGTAGGCTGCTGGGAAGGCAGAGGCAGGAGGATGTCTGAGAGTTCAAGGCCAGCCTGGTCTAGAAACCCTGAGGGGGGAGGGAAGGAAGACAGGCCACTAGTGTCAGCAGCAGCAGCATAGCAGGCCTTTAAATCCTGGCAATCCTAGTCTACAGAGTAAATTCCAGGACAACCAGGACTACACACAGACTACTAATTTTGTTTGCCTCAAAAGAACAAAATTAAGAAAGAATAGAATAGAATAGAATAGAATAGAATAGAATAGAATAGAATAGAATAGAATAGAATAGAATAGATTAGAATAGAATAGAATAGAAAAGACAGTAGCCAGTGGAGGAGAGGGAAGAAATGCAGAAAAGCAGATCTGAAAGGCTAAAGCTTATCCCAGCAGGAGTGGAGCTGGACCCCTTGCCATCACCACCTGCCTCCATCTCTGGCCTCCATCTCTCGTGCGGAGTGAGTTCCCCTTAGTTTATCACCCCCGAAGTTGCTAACCCTCAACTGAGTTCTCATTCGGCTCCTCCATCGAGCCCCCACCCCAGAACTCTGTTTCTAAACCAGCCCTTTAAGGCCACTCCATCAGAAAGCAAACACCGCAAATGCCCTCCGGCTCATCCTTGTCTCTGCCACAGGGGCAGTCTGAGCACCTCCTGGGCGCAGCGCTGGACAAGATTGATGGGGTTTCTCATGGGGAAGAGACTTGAGAACACAGCAAACCGGCTTCCCAATTCTACCACAGCGGGATTCTCTGCTCGGCCGTTTCTTTTCGTTCATTCTGTGTGCTGGGACTGAACCCAGGGCACGACAATCAAACACTTCACCACTGAGCTGCGCCCACGCTCTGGCCTCTGCGTTGCGTTTCACTTTCAGTAGAAGGAATCTTGCAGTTATACGGTGTCCACCAAACCAAAAGCCTACCGCTTGCTTGCTTCTGACCTGGCTGTACTAGGCTGCAATGTAACTGCGTATTTTGTAGAGACCTAACACTTTTCACGTGAACATTCCAGCTTAAGCAGGAACACGATCAAGGAAGACTACACCTTGCAGGGTGATCCTCACTCTTCAAAATACTATTCAGAAAACTCACTATCTGCCCAACCAGACAAAGCTCTGTAAAGACCCAGGGCGAGGTCAGCTGTTGGAGGACTTTGCACCCTTCCACCTTGTTTTGCAAGATGTCTCCAGGCCCGGGCTTGTAAGGCTCAAGGCTGAGAAGTGTGCCCGGACCCGCATTTCCTGCGTTATAACTTTCCACTCTGTGCTCCTGCGGCCTCTTTACTCCGGGCCATCGTTCCCCGGCAGCTAGCCACCATCTGCATGGCCCCTGCGTCTCATCCGCCGAGACCCTGGGAGAGGCAATGGTGCAGCAGAGCAGGGGGGGTCTCGGCAGGAGCAGCAAAGGCAGGGCTCGGTGGGCTCAGGCCGCCCTACCGCCTCCCCGCTCCCGCCCGCTCGCCTGCCGCCTCCACGACCTACTTCCCGGAGCCGCTGACGCCCATCACTAGCAGCACCGCAGGTGCCTCCATCTCCCCGCTCCTCGGCGCCCTCTTCCGGGTCAGGCCCCTCCCAGGCCCTGACGCCACAGGCCACGCCCCCGCCGTTCCTGTGCTGACCGCTGGGTGGTGCCGCCAGAGGGCACCTGCTGTCGTTTCCAGGTGATTGTGTCCTGCAACAAGGAATCCACCGGGACGCACGGACAGTAGTAAAAATAGACACGCTTTACTAAGAAAGACAGCAGTGAAGGACAAGGAGTGTGTGTCTCTCTCTCCTCTCCCTCCTTCATCTCTCTGCCTCCCTCTCTCTCTCCCTCCTTCTCTCTCTTCGCTCTCTCTCCTCTCTCCCTCCAGGCGAGGGCTCCTCCAGAGTTACAGAGAGTTGCAAGCTGCTAGGGTAGATCCTCTGTAGGAGCAGCAAGTGCCCTTGACCAGGTTGGCCTCGAACTCACAGAGATCCGCCTGCTCTGCCTCCCGAGGGCTGGGATTAAAGGCTTGCGCCACCACTACCCGACTTTATATATAATTTTTATCTGCACACATAAAATATATATTTAGGAGATATATATATATATATATATATAATATATATATTATATATATATTATATATATATATATATTATATATATATATAATGGTGTGACTTCTGGGCCATATGGTACCTCTAGATTTGAGAAAATATCAAAATGTTTTCCAAAGTGGTGGTACCATTTACATGCCCACCAAGCAAAACATGAGTCTTCTAATTTCTCCACGTCACCACTCCTATTTGTTGCTGTCGCTTTTGCGCTAACCTAACCATCCTGACTGTCACTTTTTAAAGCAAGATTCTTACTTTCTGCCTAGGAGCGGTTCTCCTGGGTGTGTGTAAGTGGAGCACACGCATGCAGGCTTGCAGAGGCCGGCGTTGCCGGTGGTTGTGAGCTACAGCGTGAGTGCTAGGTCCCCTGCAAGCAGAGCCAGTGCTCTTAAATGCCGAGCCGTCTCTCCTGCCACGCCCCCATCCTTCATTCTTGAGACTAAGACAGGACACGCCTACTTCTGCCTAAACGGCTGCTCTTTCCGTCCCTGTGTACCTGTGTAGGTTTTCACCTGCTTCTCCCCTTTCTCCTCCTCCTTTTCTTTGTACTCCTTTTCCCCCCTCCTCCTCTCTTCCTTTCTTTCCACTCAGGTTGCAAACGTTGGAGTGATTTTGTCTTACACAGATCTTTATCCCTGATCTCCGTCTATCCAATTGTTTACTTAACTCTTAGTTTGTCTAATTGGGATTGGAGACTTAATACTAACCAAACGAAATCCGTACGAATGCCTGTCTCCTCTCGCAGCCTTCCAAGTTTTAGCCAATGCATCTGCTCTCCACGCGGTTGGTCAGCTGAGCCTCCTATGAGCTATTCTTGACAATGCTTTGCTTACATCCTAATCGGGACCATTGGGTCTAACCCCCCCCCCCGCACCCCTCCCCCACTTGTTTGAATGCATCATTATTTTTTATGTCTTCTGCCACAAGCCTGGTCCTCCACGTCATCCTCCTGCTAGTGATTTTCTCGCTTCTGCCCGACTGTCCAGATAAAAGCCGTTCACTTAAAAAATTAAGATGTTTACATACATGTGGTGGTGGTGGTGGGGGGTGCACATGAGTGCAGATGCAGGTACCAACCAGAAGAGGGCGCTGAAATCCCTGCAGCTGGACTATAATTGTGAGTCACGCCAAACAGGTGCGGTGCTGGGCACCCAACTTGGGTCCTCTCTACTTAAGCCATCTCTCCAACCCCATTTTTTTTTTTTTTTAAGTTTTAAACAATCATATCATGTTAGTTCTTGTTAAAGCCTTCCTGTGGTTTCCATTGCTCTTAAAATCTGTATTTGTTTGCCTGGTGCACAAGGCCCTGCACATTCCGCCCTTGCTTAACTCTCTTCTGTGCCTGGCCTCATTACTGCCCTACTAAACCTCCCAGTCCTGCCACTGTCACTCTTGTTGTGCCCTTCACTGTGAATTCTTTTATTTGCCAGTAAAACAAAAAGAGGAGCCATTAGAGTCCTAAAACATAATTTCAGTTGTGGCTCATTTCTAAAGTTCCAAAAACTTTAAGCCTCATCTATCTACTCACGAATAAATTTTCTTGTGAAAGGGGTTACTGTTAAGAAGTCTTATCAGATAAGTACTGCACATGGCCACTTTGGATTTAAAACCTACCCCTTCCCTTTCCTTCCTCCCCTCCCCACTCCTTCCCTCTCTTTCCTTTCCCTTTGTCCTTGCCTTGACATCCAAAAGTCATTATGTTGAGCTGGGCAAAGGAGACCTCTTCATTGGCATGAGCCCAGCCTGGTGGGTGGCAAGGTGGTCTATAAAACAGAGGAAGGTAGAGGTCACAGTATTATTCTTATTTGTGTGCACTATGACATTAAAAAAGGCCATAAAAGCTGAGTGCAGTAGTACACAGTGCATGCCTGTAATCCCAGCACTCGGGGAGGCAGAGGCAGGCTGATCTCTGTGAGGAAGAGACTAGCCTGGTCTACAACGTGAGTCTAGAACAGCCAAGACTACACAGAGAAACTCTGTCTTGAAAAAAAAAAAAAAAAAAAACAAAAAACAGAAAGATACAAAGAGACCATGAAACATTATTTAAATCAAAGAGGCATCTGTGCAAAGATCTGGAGCTCAGACAAGCAAGCCATTTACAACTGCAAGGAGCTCTGTGTGTGTGGAAAGTGGAGTTGGCAGGGTGGGTGGGTAGCCCAGTGGTGCCCTTCAGGGATGTACTAGTCACTTCTATGGCTCTAAAACTCACCCCAGAGGGCACAGCATAAAGACAGACATCTGTTTAACACTGCCCGGGATGCCTTTGACCTTAGCACTCAGCCCAAAATTTCCCTAGAGATGGGCACACCTCAGAAAAGCAAGGGCAGAAAGGGAGTCCTTTTCATATCTACTTTCAAACAGTTTGGACAAAATGATGGCAAGAGTCACGTGGAGAGCTCATTTTCTGAATTTACAGGGTTTCTTTGTGTAGCCCTGGCTGTCCTGGAACTCACTCTGTAGACCAGGCTGGCCTAAAACTTAGAGATCCACCTGTCTCTGCCTCTGAAGAGCTGAGGTTAAAGGTGAGAGTCACCACTGCCCAGCTCATTTTCTGAAGTATTAATTTATCTTTTGTTTCCACCATCTGCTCCCCCCCCCACCCCCCCCTTATTCTGTGAAACAGAGCAAAGACATAACAAACATATCCAGGTGCTTTTTGATTTTTGACAGCTTCAGCTTGGAAAAAGGAGAAGAGGAAAGAGCAAGGCAGCATGAGGTGTCTACTCTAGAAACCTCTTAGAGGGACTTATGAGACAAGGGAAGGTTCCCTGAAGGAGCAGGGACCAGGACCTGACCCCTCCGAGTGGCCCAGGGATGCGGCCCGTCCTCTGTGTGGGGTAGCTTTGTAGTGCAGTGCGAAAGGTGTCCCTTTTGCCACCGAGCATCTAGGGCTCAGAAGAAGGTCCTGGAGTTTGAAAAGCATGACAGCCACCTCCCTGCGAGGGGACCATGAGGCTTCAGACAAAGGAACCGCCTATAACCAGTTAGAACCCAAGTTCAGAAGATTCTTCCTAAATATTCTGGGTGTGGGAGGAGGCACTTACCAGCCAAGACTGCTCGGACATGGCTTAAGCCAATAGAAAGTCTTCAGTAGCTGGCCCTAACTACACTGTGTGTTTGGGACCCCAGTGTAGCCATGACCCTTTTTTAGGATGAGCTTTTAAGCACAAAAACATGTCCTGGGTTGACATAATTAAGTTAACAAGAACAGTTGACCAGAAGCAGAACTACAGAAGCCGAAAAGCAAGGTGAGTACATTTAGAGACTTGCCCAGAACTATGGACTTTGATGGATTAGGTCATTGTTTTCGTTTTTGGCAGGTGGTGCTGTCTGCGTGCTGAGTCTTATGGCCTGATTGGCACTTCCACCACGGAGTCAGCTGTGCTAAGGTCTGCGGGCCTGTTACACTCTAGACTGTACAGAGCCAGAAATGTTTGCCCTTGGGATGGACACGGCCCCAGGACTGGCAGAGGCTAGAGTTCTATTCACATCCAGAAAGGTGGTTTAAGGTGAGACACGAGAGAGAATATGAAAATAATGTGTTATTTGCTTCATCGAGGGCGGAAGGGGCGTTTGCATCTCCTCCACCTCAGGTTTCTAGCTCTCAGTGTCTGCCAGGGTTTTCTTACACACGAAAGGACAGTTTTCAGGAAAATCCGGTATGTCTCTAATTGTATCTTTTCCATGGGAAAACAAATGAGAGGGTGTTTGCTATACAAGACCAGACCAGCTCAAACTACCGCAAGGCTTGGTTTTCTTCAGTTCTCTCTAATCCAAAAGTTGAAGTGTCAGAATGGAAGAGACAAGCTTGTGTGACATTCAGAAGGAGAAAGGCCTGTCCCCCAGGGCACTCTGAGCTGAGCAGGCACAGGGCCAGCAGCAGCTCCCTCCATGGCCTTGCAGCCTTAGCTCCAAGTACAAAATCTGAAACAATGGTCTGGAGAGGTGGCTCAGAGGTTAAGGGCACTGGCTGCTCTTTCAGAAGAGGTCCTGAGTTCAATTCCCAAGCACCCACATGGTGAATCATGAACCATCTATAGTGAGATCTGGTGCCCTCTTCTGGCCTACCGGTACACATGTAGGCAGAAACCTGTATAAATAATAAACAATCTTGAAAAGAAATCTCAAACAGGCATCTAACTCTTATATGTGTTTTTGCTTTGTTTTGTTGAGACAAGGTTTCTCTGTATTTCTTTTTTCTTCTTTTCTTTTTCTTTTGATCCAGGTTTATCCCTGGATGTTCTGGAACTCACTACATAGACCACCCTGGCCTTGAATTTATAAAGATCTTCCTGCTTCTGCCTCCCTAGTGTTAAGCCCAGCACTCCCGTGTGTGTGTGTGTGTGTGTGTGTGTGTGTGTGTGTGTGTGTGTGTG